GTTATAATAATTAAAATATCCCAGAATGCATCTAAAGCTTCTGCTCGCAGCCAATCAGAGGTGTATACGCACACATACACACTCACATATACACACATGTGCGCGAGCGTTACCTTAGCGAAGAGCGTCTTCCCCGTCCCCGGCGGCCCGTACATCAGGATGTTCCGGTACAGCCCGCGGTTCTGTCGCGTGTTTCTCGTTGCTATGGCGATGTCGCGCACGCGCTCCTCCAGCGAAGGCTGCAGAGAAACAGGAAGTGAGACGTGCACTCTAACAGGAAGTGCGTGTGGTGAAGGATGCGCAAACACTCACGCTGAGCACGACTCCCTCCAGCGCGTCCTGCGGCTTGCTCTTCAAGCGCTTCGCCATCTGAAACAACACATACGCGCATGAGCGCCGCCACACACCTCACTTCCTGTCTGCACAGGAAGCACTCATCGTACAGACGTCCGTCGTACCTTGACGGGGTGTTTGAGGGCTTCCACCACAGTGAATCGTGACGTTTCTCGCACGAGCGAAGGTTTTCCTAGCCGCGCCTCAATGTATCGTCCGGCCACAGTAGTAGCGTTACGTGCGGAATAAACGCCCACCGCCAGCAGCGTGAGTCCCGCCACCTGCAGGAGACTCAGAGCATCACACACACTCACACACACACACACTCACACACTCTCACACTCACGCACTCGCACTCGCACTCACGCACGCGCACACACACGATCGTCTGACACACACCGCACACACCAGCACTTACCGTCGCCGTCACTTTATCCCAGTCTGATATAAACGCGCGGAAACCTTCACCGAACACAGCACCCGCCGTCCTAAAACACACAATGAACGGTCACATGACCACATCTAAACCTGGTCATGCGTGTGTTTATAATTCACAAACACACAATTTTGCTTCATGTCATTTTCCATCATAAATTTACTGAAATGCTAAGAACTGAAAATATTTAAAATTTAATTTGCACCAATTTACATTTTTAATTCTAGTACAATTATAAATATTGTGCATACATTATAGTATTTTTTATATAGCCATCATTCTCCAGCACAAGCGTGCAAGTGAATTCATGGCTGAAAACTTTTTTGTAAATATTTGTAAATATTTTGTTAGCATTTTTACCTAAAAACAAAATATATAAATAAATATAAAATTATTTAATTTATTTTATAGTCATGAAAACATTTTAATAAGAGAGATTTATAAATATTTTTATGTAGTTCAGAAAAGGTTTTTCATATTATTATTATTATAAAATGTATAAAAAGTTTTAATTTAAAAAAGTAAATGTCTGAGTATATATTAAGTAAATAATATTACCGTATGGACTCGAGGACGGTCTGTCTGTGTTCAGCCGCCTTCAGTCGGATCTGTTCGCGGATGATGTCAGCGTTCTCTCGCTCCACACGCGCGCGAGCTTTAGACTCCGCCTCCACGCGCAACATCTCGTTCTTGTGCCGCAGCTCCATCTCGTGCTCAACGGTCGCTATGGAAACACACACGCAATCACGTTCAGATGACGAAGAACACAAGCGGCGATTTCTTCAGAATGACATCAGTCGGCCTGACCTCTCCTCATGGCTTCCTGTTTCTGCACGGACTCTTCCTGTTTGCGCAGGTTCTCCTCATTCAGGAGTTGCTGTGGAAGAACAGAGGCGTTAGACTGACGCATGTCAATCAGGAGTCAGAGAATCTGCAGAAACGCACCTGCTGCCGGAGCTGCTCGTCGTACCGCTGCCGCGCCAGTTTGTCCTGATACTGCGCCCTCTGTGGACGAAACAATCTTCACCATCATCATAACATCACCATCATCATCACATCACCATCATATCACCATCATCATAACATCACATCATTATCATCACCATCATCATCATCACTTCACCATCATCATCACATCACCATCATCATCACATCACCATCATCATCATCATCATCACATCACCATCATCATCATCATAACATCACATCATTATCATCACCATCATCATCATCACTTCACCATCATTATCACAATCATCACATCACCATCATCATCACAATGATCACCGCCACCACCCCCACTATCATCATCATAACATCACATCATTATCATCACCATCATCACATCACAAACATCATCACATCATCATCATCACCATCATCATCATCATCACATCACATTATCATCACCACCACCTAAGGATGGGCGATATCTTATCGTTTGCGATATACCGGTAAAAATTCTCCACACGATAAGAATTCGTCTTCCCGCGATAATAACGATAAAGTCTAGTTGTCGACATATTTCTGTGTATGACTGTGTGGAGTGACGTGAAGGAAGGCGGACGTGAAATTGAGCAGCTCCTTCTACAATCTGGAGCAGGTTTGGATAGGGCTGTACAGTGCGACAAAAATCGGTCTGAGCCTTGAGTAAATGTACTACAGTAGCACGTGTGCGATACAGTTTTACATGTGTATGAGTCGTTTACAAACCTGTTGTCCAACAAAGATATTTTAATTTATTGACATGCTTTTTCTCTCCATATTAACTTCATAACAGTCGAGTGTTTGAAATAACTTATCTTTGTGATCAGACGTGGTTTCGTATCACAGAATAAGGCAGAAGTCATACTATTTTATAGCATTATATACAGTGGTAAAGGCTATGTCGATCAGCATTGCATTATAAATATACTTTATCCTCATAAAAAATACCCAAGATTGCTTGAAGAACACAGATACCATATATTTTGTGCAATCGCATGTTTATTGTCTTCAGGTTTCCTCAGTTAAAATTTCTCTATCTGCGTTTTATTCAGCTACAGCGATCACTGGATACTTCTTTCTGGAGCATTACTTCTGTGATGCATATGTGGTGTTTCTGCGCAAGGGCGCCCTCCGGCTTCCAGTATGAATTAAACAGTCATTACATTACCTGTGTACTCAGTAATGCTCACAACACCCTATTTTGGGTAAAAATAGGAAAGATAATACTTTTGTCTAAGAAACAGGATTCCCTAAATTATCGTCATTGATATTGTTATCGCAATAAATATCAGAAATTATCGTGATATATTTTTAATCCCATATCGCCCATCCCTACCACCACCACCCCACCCCACCATCATCATCACCACCATAACATCACATCATCATCATTATCATCACTAGGGCTGCACGATTAATCGAATGTGATTGTCATGCGCGTTTTGTTAGTAAAGCCGGTTCTGTAATCAGCACTGCGGGATATAACAATAAAACAGGCCATCACAACTTTATCTCACAATTCAGACTTTTTTCTCCTCGCTATTCTGACTTTGTGAGATAGAAAGTCTCATAATAGCCAGATACAAACTCAGTCCGACTCAGTCTCGCTATTCTGACTTTTTCCTTGCAATTGAAAGAAAAAAAGTCTGATTTGTGAAATAAAGTCACAATTACCTCTTTTATTTTTTATTCCATGGCAGAAAAAAAACAGAATGGCAAAATAAATTCGTAACTGCAAGATATTTTTACCCAAAAATAACATAAAAATAAATATTAACAATATTGTAACATGTAAACATTAATGTATTTTTGTGGCATCGTGAACACACTTTTTATCAGCAAACCTACCTAAGAATAAAGCCTTCCATCTCCATTTGACCCTCTAACTCTAGCACTCTCTATTCTAATTCTATTCTTAAAAAAAGAGAGAGCCTCTGACACTAGCAATCTCTATTCTATCTTCTTGTTTTCTTTTCACTGATTATAAAAAAGACCCTCTAACACTAGCGTTCCTCATTCTTCTTCTACTCGATCTTTTTACTAATAATAAAAAGCTCCTTCACAGCACTTACATGTTGATGCTCTTTTGTAGGAGCGGGCGGAACCGGAGCGTCCGGCGGAGCGCCGCTCTGACCTTTATTGAGCCCGAAGAGCCACGACATGATCCGCCGACAGACGCTTCCACTGCACGAGTGTCACGCCGCGCTCTGCGCACGCTCACTGCTCCTGACGCGCTGATTGGCTGACGCGCTCGTCCGTCAGGGGGGAGGCCACGCCCCTCGACGCGTCAGCGCGGCTCTTGCGTCAGATTGTAGCGACACGTGCGGAAGTTTTTTATTTTTTATTTTTTTTATTTTTATTTTTTTATTTTTTATTATTGCTTGAAGAACATAAATACCAAACAAATAACAGTAAGAAAAATCTTAATACAATTCAAAGAAGTCCAAATAGCAGCATAACAAAAAATACATGGATAAACAAAATAAACATAACAGGAAAAGTAAGAAAGAAAAACAAATAAATACAAGAATAAAAAATAAAAAAACCTACAATGCAAGGGGCTTAATCATCAAAAAATACCTTCAAAAGATTACATAGTTTAAGGGCTTTTTTATGACGCATGAGCTTTAAAGATTTGAAGAAGACCATTAAATCTTTCTGGAAAAGTAATAAAGTGGGGGGGTTATTAAAGAATCTGCATTTATGAATGAAGTAATTGGCCAAAATCACAATATTATTAAC